GCCATGTTTCTTGGATGCTATTCCTATATCATTTGCTGATATAATATTATTCTCAAATAAAGATATTTTGTATCCTAGCTTCAGTCCTCCATAAACGTCATATTTCAAGATTCTTTTTGAAAAATATTCAAGGAGGAAGAAATTCAAAGGAAAGGATAAGTGCAAGTTTAATACTCATTACTAGATTCAGTAAGTTGTATTTATTTAAAGAAAGACATACTACATCTTTAGGGGCTCCCCAGCTGTCTCAGTGGTAAAGAATCTATTTGCAGATGCAGGAGATGCAAGTTTGATCCTTGGGTTGGGAAGATCCCCTGGCGGAGGACATGGCAACCCATTCCAGTATTTTCGCCTGGGAAATTCCATGGACAGAGGATTCCATCAAGGTACAGTCCATGGGGTGGCAAAGAGTCAGACATGATTGTGTGACTGAGCCTGCACGTACATATACTATGTGCCACTGATTTTGTTTGAAACTGCCCACAGAAAAAGAATTCTTTAGAGACATAAAAATATTTAGAATGCTTACTAAAAATAATGGAGGGGCTGTACACAGCTGGAGGGGAGAGACAGTTCTGTTTCCTAAGCAATAACTTCGACATGGAACTCTGAATTGTCTAAAAGTTTCCTACTTGAATGTGCCTGACCAAACCAAAGTTAGTGGAAGAATTCATCCTTGAAGGAAAATGAATCTTGATGAAGAGAGAGATTTTTCTCGATAAGTATAGAGGAACAATTCAGGCTGGGTAATAAGAATGAACCTTGAAAAAGAAAGATGATGTCATTGACCCTGCCAGACTCCTCAGGTGAAATATTCGACTGAAGAATCTCGTGAGAGAAGAGAACCCTTGTGAGTGAATGGTGACGATTTAAGTCAAAAGAGGACAAGAAAGTGCTATTATTGCCATTTGGAGAAATGGCTTAAATTTCTTTAAGAATCAAATATCCACAAATCTGGTACTATGGAAAACATGCAGCCGTTGAGACAGGATATAGAGAAACAAATATAGGTAGTTTTTCTTTTATGTGAAGGCAACGTGAACACAGGTAAGGAGGAGCTATCGGGAGGGTTCATCTGTTTCCCTTTCAGGTTTCTTCCTAAATTTTAGGAGACTCTTGATCAAAGCTCATGGTTAATAAAACGCTTCAGAGAATTTCCTCATATTCATTTTTTACATCTAAATTATGCTCATGCACAGTAGCTCACAGTCAGAATTCTAGGAAATGTAAGACACTGAAAATTCTCTAGGATCAGTAATGAGTAAATTACATACAGTTTTCAGGAAACGCCAGTTAGAAGAAATACTAACCTAAAGTTTCTACAATTTGGAGTAATGGAAAAGATGCCTTAAGGCATCAGCTTAATTTTGGAGGGATTAAAAACAAATACAACAAATATAATTTATCTTTCAGTATCTTTAAATGTAACAAACGAGATGGGTTTTCATATTTGCATTCTGAATGGATGCCTAGGAAGAAAAAAATGATTTCAAGTCTTGCGACTTCCAAAGAAGCAGCAATAACTTATTAATTGTACCCTTGGTGATCTTAAAGTACAGCATGAAAAACTGCCTTGGAGACTCCAAAGACGCATAAAGTTCCTCCCAGGGGGAGCAGGAGAGACAGCAGCAGAATCTAGCTACAGAAGTATTTCAAAAATGCTATTTACATGTTGAAGGAAAGGGTTTAATTAATCGTATTACAGCTGTGAAGTTAATATGCAGATCTGAGGTCCTAGCACAAGGGACTGTTACATACTTTTTAAACAAGTCACTCAATCCTACATATTCCCCTTTAACAGCTCTTGCATAGTAATAAATATATGTCCCACAGGTTTGCAGAATGAGGATCGAGATGTCTGTTAATTTCTCACTAATAATAAAGATGATGATGATGGTGGCAATTATAAGAACCACTTTTTACTGAAACCTCACAATATTCTAAGATCCTAAGTTCTTTGTATGAATTACAAACAATATCAACAACCTGGCATGCTGTAGCCCATGGGGTTGCAAAGAGTCAGACACAATGTAGCGACTAAACAACAACAATGATAAAATTAATTTTATGATAAATTAATGATAAAAATAAAATTAAAAAAATTTTCTCATTTTGCAGAAAAAGAAACTGAGATTCCAGTAGATTATCAAAGTACAGGCACTTTTGGTCACCTAACCACAGTCATCCCCAATCTCACCATACAGGCACACATTTCCTAAAACAGTACACCCATTTCCTTCAAGTTCTAGAATCCATGGAGAATGTCCAGTGAGACCCTCAGGACCACAGGGACAAAAGCATGATGCGAAGCAAAAGGAAAATCTGAAGGTTGTGATCAAGAGTCCCCATAAGAGGCCAGAGGTATGATCACTCATGGTCGGCGAGTACACTATTAGTTTACAAGAACGGTTCAGTAGTGCCTGTCATTGGAATAACACTCAAATCCATAAAGATGTTGTGGAAATTAAGCTGAATCTGGTGTTTGGAGAAAGATTCATCACTTTACAATGGACATTTTGGGCAAAAATCAAAGTAGAGTGAGGCTTTTATTAATCTACCTAAGTATATAATTCCAAGAAATGACTTCATGAACTAGAAGGAGAGGGAGGACTCTAGAGAGTTAGTATTTAAAGATGCACATGTGAACAAGGATTTTTTTATGAAATGGGGTACAACCTGGGAAAATGGCAGGGTTGCCTGGGTTTATCAAGGGTCCTCAATGCTGCTCTAGTTTTCAGAATAGATTCCCGACAGACTGGAATTGAGATTCACCTGTGACTAGCCAGGGAGCAATTACCAGCCTTTGAAACACGAAATAGAGATCAACAGAAAACCTGCAGGCCTTTTGGAATCGTCTGTCTTTTTAATGATCTAGAATACTTGGGCTGCTTAATGGCATTTGCATGGGTCATAGAATGAGTAACTGGGACCTTATACCCACTTTTTAACTCTGAACCCAAAGAAATGAGGGGGGAAACCCTTGATTTTTTCAAGGATTCATATTGAAATTAATGTGAAATTCACATTCACATCATTCACATTGATGTTAGAAAACCAGTTACAAGAAACAGTTCACAAAGGTCATCTTGGGCAGGAGAGGGAAATCAACTTTTGTGGGACAAATCACTGATCCTATTATTTTAATTTTAAAAAATTAAAAAAAAAAATCACATCACATTTGAAGCTTACCTGAGTTACCATATTTGGTAACAATGCTAAACACCAAACAGGCACTGATTACTATCATTACTGGTGATGCTGGTCCTGTTTTTATATTTCACAGAGACTTTTGGGATTCAGCGATTTGCCTAAGGGCCTATGTTTAAAAGTGCTATAGACAAGATTTGAATGAAAGGCTTATGATTTGACATCTAGTCTTTTGCAACATACTATGATGCCAATTCCATAGAACAAATTTCCTCTGGTCTAATTTATTCCAAACCAGTTAACAGAGAAGAAAATAAAAGATGATTTCCATCCAGTGAAATAAAAACATGATTTAAAATGACCATTCAAATCAAGAAATAGACAATGTTATGGGTTGAAAAATGCTATGCTTATTATTCACAATTATTTTATTCATAATATTTGCATTTTAAAATTACTTTATAATCTGCATGTTATAGATGATAACTGAGCACTGATTTAAGTCCTTTTTTCTGTCTTAGAAATTAGTGGTGAAATGCAATTAATAGCACAAATACCAAAGGTAGATGTTGGTGCATTTCTATGTAACTCAGTTTTAGGAATGTAATTTCTGGTTCCTGAATACATTTGCCAATGTGAGAAAATGATGACAAGTTCTAATTATAAAATTATTATAGTGTAGAACAATCAACTCTGAAGGTTCTAGAGAAAACCCTTCAGGGATCTTTCCTGCTTAGCTACATCAAAAATTCTTTATTACCCTATGGACTTCAGTGGAGCCTAACAATTCTAAAAGCCTCTGTGCTGGTCAGGGCAAATGTTTCTAAGATCTAAACCACAAATGCTACTTAAAGAAAGTCTGACATGATTATGCAACAATAGAATAAGTTGGCACAAAGATAGTTGAAAACAAGAAACCTAGAAAAATAGGTTAAAACTTTCTTATTCTTTTTGTAATTATACTGTTAAATTTCTTCTCTACGATTTCAAATGACAACTTCACTAGTTTATGAGAAAAATACTTAAACATAATGAGAAGTTTAACCTAAGGTGCTCTTCCATTAGGGTGGTAATCAAAAGATGGTTCTGCAAGAGTCAAAATGAAAATTGTGTGCTTTGCTGACATGAGTTCTAGACAGACAGAAATAACATTTGTTTCATGTTGCATAAAGACAACTCTGATCAGGATTCACAGAGGAGTCACCCCACTGATGTACATAGTTGTTAGTAAACATATGCTCCCTTTAAATATAATGAGTATTTCCTTCTCTGTCAAACTTCTTTCTCAGAATTAATATTCAAGCAAAGATGGCAACTTGCTATTCATATCTGTTACATTTACGTTTTGGTCAATCCCTTTCCCCACTTTAAACACAAGAATGTTTAAAGCCATTTTTTCACTTAACATTTGGCATTTGTGGTCACTGGGATGAGAGGCTTTTTAAAACTGGACATGATATACACTGGAAGCTGAGTCCCACTGCAGCTTAGCAAGCTAACTTATAAGGCTATTGTTTTGGAGTTTCATTGTTATTAACATGCTCCCAAGGTCATTCTTTTCTGAATGATATCCAAACTCTTTTTTGAATAGTATTCCATTTGCAACATTGTTTTGATTACTATATATACTTAGTATTCCATTTGTAATGCTGCTTAAGTTACTGTATATGTGCATATATATTAGTATTCCATTTTTAATGTTATTTAGATTGTTATATATACTTAGTATTTCATTTGTAACATATGTACACTGTATAGATGTACATATATTAGTATTCCATTTGTAATGTTACTTAGATTATTTATTAGTGTACTCTTTTTAAAAGTGTACTTTAAAACCATCATGAACTTACCTTAGAGAGTCCACCTACTTCCAAATAGAAGCAGATAATGAACACATTCCAGGTGACCCAAAGGGCAGTCCATACTGTATACTGGAAAGAAAGGGTGGGGAGGGGAGAGAAAAAGAAGAAAAATGTGGAGATGAAGGGAATGTATATTCAATAAGTCGATAATAAAAATGTCAATAAATCTGTCTTCTGGGATGAAACAGGGCATGCTCAGAAAAGAGTGCTCCTTATGGGGTCCCCTAAGATTTCTAGAAATTAAAAATCCAATAGTTTCTACTGCTTTCAGTAGATGTCAATAAAACTAGATTTATTTTGAAAGTGCTTTGCTGGCTTGCAGATGCAAGTGAAATCCAAGTGCTGATTTGATTTCTGTTTTCTGAGTACTAACTTTTCCAAGGGATACAATTATGCAAATTTTCTGTGGGCTATCTAGTCAGCTAGTCAGTTGTGTTCAACTTTTTGTGACCCCATGGACTGTAGCCCACCAGGATCTTCTGTTCATGGGATTCTCTATGCAAGAATACTGGAGTGGGTTGCCATTCCCTCCTCTTGGGGATCTTCCCAATCCAGGGATCAAACCTGGGTCTCCCTCATTGCAGGCAGATTCTTTACCACCTCCAGGAACCAGGGAGGCCCATCTAATCAGCTAGCTAGCTTTTAGTTATAATTTTAAATCATCACAGTTTTAGGAATATTAGTCAAAACCCTTCACTTCCATATCACTGAATGAGAATCATGTGGGAAAATGGATATGTGGAGTAAAAGTAACCAACTTTCAACTGTTGGACTATTTTACTGAATGGAATATATGCCCCTAATATAACGATAGGCTATAACATGAGCATGTAAAATATTTTTTTAAAAGCATAGACATTAATAACTAGGATTAAGGATGAGCAAATCAGCAACATATTTCCATAATGGGAAAATACCTTCCAATTACATCCCCAAACTCTCTAAACATGCCAGCCTTATTGATTAATTGGCTTTATGAATGTATCATGTATTAGGAAATGTCTTTCTCAACAGTATTAGTCAGATGGAATTAAGGTAACCTCAGATCAAGACTCATCAAAGGAGATGGTCTTAGGGTTCAATTCATCCAGTCACTTTCTTTCCCTTTTTTTAGTTTTTAATTGGAGGATAATTGCTTTACAATGTTGTGCTGGTTCCTGCTGCACAACAACATGAATCCGCTGTAAGTACACATACCCCCTCCCTCTCCAGCCTCCCTCCCCCACTCCATCCTCCCCTTCTAGGTCGCCATGGAGCACTGCGCTGGGCTCCCTGCATTACACAGCAACTCCACACGAGCTGCTTACACACGGGCGTGTATATATGTCAACGCCACTCCCTCACTTTGTCCGCCCGCTTCTTCCCCCACTGTGTCCACAAGCCTATTCTCTACATCTGCATCTTTATCCCTGCCCTGTATACAGGTTCATCTGCACCATTCTTCTAGATTTCATATACATGCATGGATATATGATACTTGTTTTTCTCTTTCTGCATCCAGTCACTTTCTCAAGCAGACAAACACACTAAGGTCTGGAAAACTGACATATAGGACAGCTTGAATGAAGAAGGAATTTGCCACAGCAGCACAATGAATACACCAAATACAATGGGTTGCTCACTCATTTTATTTTACTACAAAAATCTATGAATTCCTAAATAGACATACTAATTCAATTATTGCTTTCTACTGTTAACTCATGATAAATGGAGAAATAACTTATTGTTAATATTAAGCTAAGTATTAAAATAATTTATTAATACTAGTTTCTTCTATGCTCTGCCAAATAATAGACTCATGAATTTTAAACACTATAAAACAGCCATCTCCTTACTAGAAACCTTATCAGAAGCTTTTAACTTTTTTCTAAAATTCAATTTACATTTTTTATCTTTATCATTTATGATTTTTAAAGAGTAATACATTTATAATAATGAGTTAAGGCTCCAAAATCACTAGAACTGTAGAGGAGTTGGAAAATATTCCAAAAAGTTAACATCAGTTAAAATATACATTGAGGCTTTTGGTATTTGCAGATACCGTTGATCTGCTGATATTTTCTGTTAAAGAGCCTTCCAGTGTGAGCCGGTAGTAGATGTTTTCTTAAAAATGCACCAAATGCATTGAAATGCACTTTTCTGACCCACAAAATATTTTTGTGAATACTTAAAATAGCTAACCTACATCCTCTATGTATCCTTTTTGCAAACAGATAAAGTCATAAAACCACAACAAATTTTTTAAGATGTTACTAATAAGATGGCATCTGGTATCAGACATTTTTCATTCTACATAAGTCTAATTATGGAGATAATTGAGTAAAAGAGCAGTGCAGACCACTAAGTCATGAGAACAAATCCAGGGACAAAGGTTGAGGGGAGGACATAAAGTAAAGCAGGACTAAAGGAAGAAAATGAACCGAATTAACTGCAAAACCACATAGTTCTTTATTATTAGGACTGCAAACTTACACTCCAAGTATTCTTTTAGAAAAGCAAATCAACTCAGAGTTACAGAAAATGAATATTGAGGCAAATCTATTTAAAGTCAAAGCACAAACTTCATGATTGAAGTGTATTCTGATCTATCACAAGTTGTACTATTGATGTCACTTCTGAACACTCAAAGATAAAATGATTAGGCTGAGCACTATAGATTCCAACTGTCAGCTCTGAAATTCCTAACAATAACAACAGTTATTACTGAGCTGCTTTCTATTGTTCCTTTCTAAGCACTTTACATAGATTAAGTCATTCAGTCATCACACTAAGACCAAGGTAGAGAGGTAATCATTTGATCATGTAGTTAGTGTCAGACTTGGGACAGGCACTCTGGCAAGAGCAGGAGTGCTTAGGCATCATATGACTCCAGAGCTGGGGTGCTTAGGCATCAAATGATGAGCTTCATTGAAAAAAATTTTAGGAAAAGGACTACAGGTTAATTTGCAAGTTAACACTTCCCCAAATTTTCCATTTTATCAAATGATCAATTCACCAATTTATCAAAAATTTACTTCATTCATGTGTATTTTATAACCAGTAATTTTTTTGAAATGATTTCCTTTTCATTTTGCTATTAATATGTCATGCATTATATAGACATTGGGATTTTTAAAAGTAATATTGTAAGTTCCTTTATTCTAATACATTGGCCTGTTGAGAACAAAGAGTATCTGTATGGTTGAATTTTGGATTGCTTTGAGATGGAAACTTCATACCTCAGTGTGCACCTGAGACCCAGATCTGTACATAAGGTAAAACGGAAGGATTTCTAGTGGCACTAATAACACATCCAAAGGAATTTTGCTGAGGTAGAAAGTATTAGGACAACATGTGGTATAAGATACTGGCTATCCTCCTTGTCATCTTTTTGATGAGGATTAATTTCTTTTTAGGGCTTCCCTGGTGGCTCAGTGGTAAAGAATCTGCCTGCTAATGGAGACACACGTTTGATCCCTGGAGATCACCTGGAGAAAGATCCCTGGAGATCACCTGAGAGAAAGATCCCTGGAGATCACCTGGAGAAAGATAGCTGGAGATCACCTGAAGATCACCTGGAAAAAGAAATTGCAACCCACTCCAGTATTCTTGCCTGGAAATCTCATGGACAGAGGAGCCTAGTGGGCTAGAGTTCATGGGGTTGCAAAGAGTAAGTCACAATTTAGTGACTGAACAACAAACTTATTTATGCAATTGAAACTAGAATTTTTAAAAAAGAGATACATTCCATTTTTACCAAATATCTTTTGGTCATCACAGAGTATGCCTACAAACTCAGACAGTCACATAGATATACCTGCAATATAGAAGACATAACTTCTCAAAGTAAAGAAAAAATTACTCTGCATAATTATTTATCCATCTATTTACTTGTCATCTCTATATAATCTATCAACTATTTATCTATCCTACTTTGCTTATGTTCAGTACACACACTTTAAATCCTAATCTAATTAGACAATGCCTATAAAGATGAAAAACCATTTATTTTGTTCTATGTAGCTTCCAGGATATTGCACAGTTTTATGAGGATATTCCAGGATTTTTTAATTGAAATTAACTTTAGAAGTCTCCCTGTATATTTTTTTCCTCATTGAGCAATTAGTCTATAACATAAATTATTTTTCACTCCCCTAGCTTGTTTTTCAATTACCAAGAAGACCATTCATTAATTCATTCACATGTGTATCAGTTAGATACAGTAGTATACACAGAATGTTACACTTATTTTTTCAAAAGGATCTGTTTCTTACTCACTCATTGTTCTAACAGTTTTTGGAGCTTAGTATTCATGTCCAAGGGGATTTAAATCTGAGACCATTGAATATGAGCTTAATATTCTTAACTGCCATTCTGAACAGTAACTCTGGTGGAAGATTTATGATGACATAGTAGGGATATTTCCCTGTGAACAGAGTACATGTGCGTTTCGTCATGTCTGACTCTCTGTGACCCTTTGGACTATAGCTGGCCAGTCTCCTCTGTCCATGGGATCTCCTAGGCAAGAATACTGAAATGGATTGCCATTTCTTCCTCCCGGGTATTTTTCTGGCCGAGGGATAGAACCCATGTTTCTTGTGCCTCCTGCAATGGCAGGCAGATTCTTTTCTTCTAGTGATGCAATCCCTTGCATTGCAAGAAAATACTCACTAATTCTACTGAACACCGTATATTTATTCAGGTTCAGTGAGCATTTTAGAGTGTGTTACTCCTCATTACAATTTCTTACATTTGCTTGGTATTTCTCACAACCTTCTTATACATATATGTAGCCTAAAATATTCCCCTCTAGAAAAGAGAACAGATTACTGAAGATAACTTTCAGTCAAATGTGGAGCACAGAATATTCCTTATCAAATTTTCCTACAATGGAGGGTATGCTGACCATGTATGTGATAGTTTGGAGCATGGATTTGTCTCAAATTTATCTTCACAAAATTGAGAAATATTTAGTAATATACAGTACACCAAAAATTAGGGGATAAGTATGAAATAAAGGTGTCTCAGATGGTAAAGAATCTGCCTGCAATGCAGGAAACCTGGGTTTGATCCTTGGGTTGGGAAGGTCCCCTGGAAACGGGAACAGCTACCACTCCAGTATCCGGGCCTGGAGAATTCCATGCACTGTGTAGTCCATGGGGTTGCAAAGAGTCAGACATGACGGGACGACTTTCACTTCATTTCATGAATGCACATGCATTTATTACATCAGTTAAAACTAAATAGCTTTTTATCAGTTAGTAAATAGTTATGGCTAGGAAGTTTGCTTTTTAGTGTTAGTGACACATGTGATTGAAATGATAGTTAATACACATTTACATACCATCTAACATCAAGACCACAGGTCCTCCTCTATTGAAACTCATCTTAAATTTCCTTGTGAATCTTGATTTCAGTTGCACTATGAATCTCACACTCATAGTCACATTGTTTGCTTTCATTGTAAACATTCACTGAGCCTTCTTCCCCACAGATAATCATCTCAGTAATGAAGGCCAATACAGCCAAGCCATACTACATCAGAAAGAACAACTGAAATAAGTTTCTTCTTCTCCTAACAGTTTTGCAGTGTTTATATGAAAAGACAAGTTAAAAATAAGACTTACCACCACAATATATCGAGGTCTGTACTGAATGGTCCCAAACAAACCCAATATGACGACGATTATATGTAGAAAATTGCCAAGTATGGGCGCCCACTGGAAGCCAAGGAAGTCAAAGATCTGCCTCTCTAATGCTGAGAGCTGCAACAAAGCAAAGAGTCCATGAGTATATAACCTGTGCACCATCACACCACATTAATGTTGGCTTCGCAGTTGGAGAAGGCTGCAAAGTCAATTTCAATGGACACTGTTATCACTAAGATTGTGACACCCATTTCCTGTACTGCTTTATGCAACGTCTCTCAGAAAACATACTAAAATTACTTTGAAAATCAGGATTTCAACTATAAATAGATTTTAAGCCTTTCTGGAGTGCATGAGATATATTCCTGAAGTCCTTTTCTATAGTAGTAAATCTTTTATAATATCATATTTTCTAATATTAACCTATCACTATTTTTAGTAAAATGACTGGCTTAGTTATAACATACTTAGAACAGTAACTCTAGGCTTCAATGCCAGTACTATTAATGTTTGGGAAAAGAAACAAACAAAAGTAAGAAAAACTACCCCCATTTCTACCTTCCTATGTAAAATATGAATTATCAAATCTTTTTTTTTTCTTTCCTTTCTTTAGATTGTCATTGGTTATAACACTAGCCTCTTTTTCAAAATGAAGCTTATTTATTGACTTTTGACTTATTTACATTAATGATGATAACTACTTTTTCAAAATGAGCTTACTTATTTATCTACTTTAGTTCCCAATCTAACACTGGAGTTTCACAGTTCCTTTGAATGACATTTTATTGAGACAATATATTTACATGAAAATTCATCTTCAACTAGGTGTGTGTGTGTGTGTTGCTCAGTCATGTCTGACTCTTTGTGACCCCATGAACTGCAGCCCACCAGGCTTCTCTGTCCATGAAATTCTCCAGGCAAGAATACTGGAGTGGATTGCCATTCCCTTCTCCAGAGGAGCTTCCCAACCCAGAGATCTAACCCTGGTCTCCTGCACTGCAGGCAGATTCTTTACCGTTTGAGCTATTGCTGCAGCTGCTGCTAAGTCGCTTCAGTCATGTCCGACTCTGTGCGACCCCATAGATGGCAGCCCACCAGGCTCCTCGGTCCCTGGGATTCCCCAGGCAAGAATGCTGGAGTGGGTTGCCATTTCCTTCTCCAGTGCATGCATGCATGCTAAGGCACTTCAGTCGTGTCTGACTCTGTGCGACGCTACGGACAGCAGCCCACCAGGCTCCTCTGTCCACGGGATTCTCTAGGCAAGAACACTGGAGTGGGTTGCCATTTCCTTTTCCGTTTGAGCTACAGGAAAGTACTATTCAATTAGGTATAATCCTTTCTAAATACACAGATAAAAATTATAGGGTAATGACAATTTTAGACACATCACAGTTTATTATATTGCATTAGATACAATTATATTTTTAAGCAATTATAAAATATACTAGAGTATACACTTATACTCTTTATGATGAAACAGATGAATTTCACATAGTCCAGTGAATGTCAACAATGTCATTATCATGTACAAATAATATTTATTATGCTTTATATCTAGAAATTTTATAATCCCACCTGCTGTGTTTGGACATGGATCTTAATACATTTGAAGCATTCTTCTACATTAACTTTGATAAAATAGTAATTCTGAAAAAAATGACCCACTGATCAACCATCCTGCCTGCACTAGAAACAGCAGGTTTGAAAAGAAAATGGTACCCTAGGTATTTTATTTTTTTAGTTATGCGGCAGGTGTATGCCTGAATAACTTTAATTTCCTTGGACATAAAGAAATGTCCTCTATCCAGGAAGCTGAATTTAGCTTGGTTTAGATTCACCTTCAATAAGATGTGGAGGATAAAGAGAAACGAGCAAATACCTCAAGACAACCACACAAGAACCACATTCATTTCATGGGTATTTCCTGATCATCAAGTGATTTGTCACTAGCCCCTGCACTCGCAAATAGGGGGAGGTCAGGAATGGCTAAAGCTCAAAATAATCAGAGCAAGGTAAGAAGCGGCACCATGTTTTCAACCCCCTGCTTCTCTGCTCCTGACTGTAAACAGTTCCCAAGAACCTTCCCCTAAAAATGCAGCATTTTACTTATTGGCCCATCAGTGATGTAAATATGTGGGGTTTTGTATCCAAACAGGATGGATGTGCTCAGAAAAAAACACAAAATCCTGAAGAGCAGCTGCAGGCAATTCATCGTGAAAAGCAACCCGATTTTAAAGCCATCACGCATCACAAATACCTTTAAAGTGAAGTTTTCAAACAGAAAAACCCATTTTCTTTTCTGTCAGAAGACGCATGAATAGCATTCTTTTTTATATTACAGAAAATACACAATGAAAGGGGAGCCAAATTAACACCAGTCATTAGAAAATCTGCACTCTTTATTAAGACACCCAGTTTCTCTACTTATTGATACTTATTCTCTGATAACTTAAAATGGATTTACAGTGATTTGAAATCAAAGCACAAATAAAAGGTCATAAACAAACAACAAACAAATAATGAGGTCATATCAAGAACCAAGCGAGAGGCAGCCAAAACAACTAAACAAATCATGAAAATTAGATTTGAGTATTGTGTTTGAAAAAGTCAACTAACAAAGACAAAAAGTCCTCTAAAAGTAAACAGAATACCATTGCATTCTGTATTACTTATTTTATCTAATTTCCATGGTTGGCTATTAAGCCATTTAGTTTAGAGGCAAATACATTCTCTTTGGGCTTCCCTTGTGGCTCAGATGGTAAAGAATCCACCTGCAATGCAGGAGACCTCAGGTTTGATCCCTGGCTTGGGAAGATACCCTGGAAAAGGGAAAACAGCTACCCACTCCAGTATTCTTGCCTTGAAAATTCCATGGACAGAAGAGCCTGGCAGGCTACAGTCCATGGGGTCGCAGAGTCAGACACAACTGAGACTTTCACATGTTCTCTGACTGTCATCATCTTTAGAGACAGCACTTTTTGCCTTAGAGCTTGATATTAATAATGATGACTGAGAGCCAAAGAATCAACTTAAATGATATCATGGTTGCTTTGTTAACTCAAAAATGTATGAATATATTTTAGAAACACATCTGTCAAAATGGTTTCATCAATACTGTGCTTAAGCCACTGGTGCAGGCTGGGGAGCATAGATCAGGTATGTCTCTTCCCAACTCCTCTATCAATGATGCTGCTTTGGGAATGTGGCTTTGCCCAGTATATTTACAACATGGACTTTCCTGACAGCTAGTTGGTAAAGAATCCACCTGCAATGCAGGAGACCTGGGTTCGATTCCTGGGTTGGGAAGATCTGTTGGAGAAGGATAGGCTACCCACAACACGGACATCAGGAAGCACTAAGAAAGCAAGGTCTTGTTTATTTGTAATGAGAGCCTGTGGTCAGCCACTGAACACGGCATCTAGAAAACAGTGGTTCTGACTCAGGAGAACAGCGGAAGGAAGTCATCAAACATGTGCTGCAGCACCAAGAGGAAGCATCTGGCCCAGATGTCAGAAGAGGACGGACAGCTCTGCAGAGATGCCAAGGCAAAGAAGGGAATGCACGAGACCCTGGAAGAACCTGAGTTTTAAATCAAGATAGAGAATTCAAGAAACTAGAAAAGGAACAAACAATCCAGAGGAAAGCAAAACTAACCGGTCCCCAGTTTAAACACAGAACAGGAAGCAGGGGCATAAAGAACTTTTCTAGGGGACAGGTCAATTGAGTAAGACTCTGGAAGCTCCAAGAATGTAATGAAGAGAATATATGTCTATTCCTAACCAGTTGAAAAATAAAGGCAGACAGAATCTGAATAAGATGGAAGGAAGAAAGGAATGGAAGGAGACCAAATAAGTGATGCAAAGGAAGTATGGTTCAAAAGTACCAAGAAAATTAAAACTGGGCATTATTTTGAATGCAAAGATGAAGAAATCATTGAAACACTCTCTTTGGATGGCAACACCGGAATTATAAGGAGAGAAATGTAACCCTACATCATACTTGGGACGGCATGGGAATTATCTCACACTCATTACAATAAAAATGTAACTTGGCTTGTAACTTTCAGAATCCAATTGTAGAAAGCTCAGAAGCCTTCATTATGATTATGAAAATGTAAGTGCAATTTGACCCTATAAAGTAAAATAGAACTAAGAAGGGGCTGAATATTCTATGTAAAATCTGTGTATACAGCAAGGGGAAGGGGTATGTTTTAAAATTCTTCCTGCAGGTCAGGCGTTTCCTTCTGTCAGGCTCCAAGGTGAAAACGTTTCCTGTAAACCCATGAATCATTAACTGCACCCCAAATTAACCACAAATACTCCCAATAGCACAAGAAAGTTCCCTATTTCCTTATTACGCCCAGACAATGTAGACAGAGACAAACAGGGGCACATGTAAAACAGAGTAATTTTCTTTTTCTTCTTTTTTTGGAGTATAGTTGCTTTATACTGCTGTGTCAGTTTCTGCTGGAGAACAAAATGAATCGGCCTTACTTATACATATATCCCCTCTTTTTTGGATTTCCTTCCTGTTTAGGTCACCTCAGAGCATTGAGTAGAGTTCCCTGGGCACAGTAGGTTCCCATCAGTTATCTATTTTATACATAGCATCAGTAGTGTATATATATATCAAGCCCAGTCTCCCAATTTCTCCCACAGCACCCCACCACCACCCAGCTCTTTGTATCCATACATTTGTCCTCTACCTCTGTGTCTCTATTTCTGCTTTACAAACATGATCATCTACACTGTTTTTCTAGATCCCACATACATGTGTTTTTTTTTTTATTTAGTTTAGATCCCACATACATGTGTTAATATATGATACTTGCTTTTCTCTTTCTGACTTAGTTCACTCTAAAATACAGTAACTTTCTTATTGATCCATATATCCATATATTACATTAACACAGTGTTTTGTCTAATAGTTCATAATTATTATAAATTATGGAAATTTATTTATATTTAATTAAAGAGCTATAAAAACTCCAGGTGACCAGATATTTTCCTCGGCATTTACCTCAGTTGGATCTACATAATATGCTTCTATCTAAACAAAACCTCGGTAGGAATGCTCAGTCTTAAGATGTGAATACCCTTGGAAGCTGAACTTCACAGTGAAAAAGGTGAGCTCCCTTTTACTTCCATTTCT